CAGCAGGAGTCGAGAGTTAGGGGGTGTTTGGATCCCAGGACTAAACTTTAGTCCCTGTCACATTAAATTTTTATATATCAATTAGAAGGACTAAACATGAGCTAATTATAAAACTAATTACATAAGTTGTGGCTAATTTGCTTGCCAGTGCCGTGTACTGGATGGTTTGGAGATGTGGTGGAACATATTCGTGGATTTGTTGGCGCACGAAAGAAATGGATATCGGAAATCTCTTTCTGCCGGTATAAAAAATGATCTTAGTCGCATCACGGAAAGATCTACACAGTAGAGTTTGTGAGCCTACGACGCCATGCTCTCTGTGACTGTGTAAATTTCACGAGCTTAGCTTTTTGGATTAAATGTCACTTTAACGTCGGTCATATACTTTTACAGTATTGTTATCTTATCGTCGATCCGTGTATTTTTAGTACAAAAGTTTAGGTGTCCCGTAGCAATGCACGTGCACGAACCTATTTACCTATATACTCGAGCCTGTGTGTACATGATTATATGGAGATGCAGTGGAACTTATTCATAGATTTATTGGCGCATGAAAGAAATGGATATCGTAGAATTCTTTCTGCCGATATAAAATATTATCTTAGCCGTATCACGAAAAAGTCTATACAGTAGAGTTTGTGAGCCTGCGACGTCGCACTCTCCGTGACTGTGTTAATTTTACGAACTTTGCTTTTTGAATTAAATGTCACTTTGACGTCGGTATTTAATTTAACAGTATTGATATCTTATCGTGCGATTCGTGTGTTTTTAGTACAAAAGATTTAGTTGTCCCGTAGCGCAACGCACGGACACGTTACCTAGTCAAAAAAAAAATATTAAAACTTGGAATCAGTTCTCTCGTTTGCGTTCCACTTGGTCGGTTCAGTTGGACTGTAATCTTTGTGGGCCCTCGCCGTTCTCCAAGCAAGCAAGTAGCCCAACTTGCGCTCCAGTTCCATGTGATAGTTGGGCCCATGCATCTACGACTCGATCGCACCCATGACCCAACTTTAGTTTTTTTTTCGTATCCATGGGCCTGATGAGTAAAAAGGTCTCCTGTCGAGGCCCAGTACTACGTCTTTTATTTTCGTCCCAATTAATTGTAGCCGCATGTTTGATGGTCACACTTTGTGTACAAGGCTAACTGGCAAGTGGCAACGAGAAAGTCCGGAGAAACTAGTGGTTTTGCTCACCGTCACCGGCGTGGAAAAAATCGCATGGCGTTGCCGCACGCCAGTCCAGCTAGCTCCACACTGACCACCGGCCGTCATGGCCGGAGCTCCGCAGCCGTCCTCCGTCGGCCACCGACGGATTCCGGCAGCCGTCTGAGGGTGCACGCGCAGAAGCCCGCCGCGGGATCCCGTGGTGGCGCGGGAGCCGAGACGACCGCGACGTCGTCCTCGTCCCGCTCGGAGAACGCCGTCCTCAAAGCCGCCTGGAACGGCTCCGAGCTCCTCGGCATCGCCGCGTCGCTGTTCCGGCCCGCGCCGTCGTCGCCGTCGTCTCCGGAGGGGGACGCTGGCGGTGGCGGTGACGTGGAGGGAGGCGCGGCGGCGGGGGCGGCCCTGGACCGCGCGGGAGTGGTCGAGGCCGTCAAGGCGGACTTCGCGCGGTCCTACTTCGTCACAGGTCTGAATCTTCTCCGATGAGCTGACGAACGATTGGCTGGCATGCTTGGTAGAGCCTAGTTATCTGAGAACAGAACACGCGTGTGCGTTTTCGGTTCGTTGCGCGCGCAGGGGATCTCACGCTGAGAGCTTACGAGGAGGACTGCGAGTTCGCCGATCCGGCGGCCTCGTTCAGAGGCCTGCGGCGATTCAAACGGAACTGCACCAATTTTGGGTCTCTGCTCGAGAAATCGAACATGAAGCTCACCAAATGGGAGGATCTGGAGGTACGTACGAACTGCATCTCCAGCAACCAAGTTGACAACTTTGTAAAATGCGGGCGATGTTAATTATTGGTGGTAAAAAACAAACAAACAAAAATATACTGATCGGTGCCGCTACTCGTTGCATCCGGGTTGCAGGACAAGTCGATCGGGCACTGGCGTTTCAGCTGCGTCATGTCGTTCCCGTGGAGGCCTATCCTTTCAGGTGATTACAATATATTTCATGTCCGATTTGTACGTTGCAATGAATTGCTCAGTTCTCCGGCTGTTTATATATTTGCTCCTGCCCTGACATGTTGTTTACTGTCATCCCGCTGTTTCAGCAACCGGGTACACGGAATACTACTTCGATGCTGAATCGGGGAAGGTGTGCAGGTACTGAAAACTTCGATACAGTTCTGTTCAGCGATCCAATTTAGGGCTCACCGGTTCAGAAGCATCCAAGCATATTTGTAGCTAGTCGCACGATGTTCTTATTCTATACGCGTATGTGGCGAGGACTGACAAGCCCCTCTTGTGAATCCAGGCACGTCGAAAATTGGAACGTTCCAAAGATGGCGCTCCTTCGGCAGATTTTCAGGCCGAGCCGATGGGTCTGGGAGAAGCGCTAAAGCCTGCAGGGGTCGTTTCGGTGCATCAGCAGCGGTAGCATACTTATGCTCCAAACCAAATGCATGTGCGTGTACGTACATTCGTAGAATACACTAGGAAGGACAGCTCATATAATTATTTATTATAGTATATAAAAATATGGATTTTGTATGGGCTTGGTCCATGTTACACAGACAGGGCCCATGTTACACAGCCCACGACGGCCCATATTCAGGAACCTTCGGCCGTATTTCTTCATGCGCTTGGCCCATGTTACACAGACAGGGCCTCCTAGGGTTTTCGTCTTTATAAGCAGAAGCTACGAAGCGGGGAGGCGTGGGCATTGCGGCGCTGGCTGCGGACTGCAATGGTGGCTCTCTCTTCCTCCTTCGTTTTGTTTCACTCAAAGCCGCCGAGGGGTCAATTAATCTCTCCCTCTCGATTTATTTGCGATGCTCGATTCCGTGGTACAGTTTTTATTCCTCTCTTCGCAGTTTTTTTCATTCATTTGGTTGCCTCTTTCAGCTGTAATGGCGTTCATGGTCAGATGATTAGAAATAACTGCAACAATATGATCCATGATCTGATTCCTAGTTTTAAGTCTCTGATGACCATCTACTGCCATTCCTAATGCTTCTCTTGTTGTCGTTTTTCCTTTTTGAATCTTACTCTGCGTTATTGCTTCTGTTGTTGTCGTTTCCCTTTTTTGTTTTCGTTTGTGAATCTGAATCTGCGCTGGATGTGATGAAGAAAAGATTGGTCCGTGTTTCTGATTTTTCAGTGACTGACAACCATCTCTATTTTCCTTCTGATTCCAAGCAGAAGTGCTTTGCTTCGAATGTTCACCTCATTGCGAATTGCAACTCTTCGAATGTTCACCTCATTGCGAATTGCAACTCTTCGAATGTTTACCTCATTGCGAATTGCGGTGATGAATTATGAATAAATTTCGCATGTCAGACTTCGGAGATGCTTCTGGCATCCATGAGAAGATCTTTCATATTACTGAGCAATGCACATATTCCACGCAAAAAAAAAAAACAGTACAATCTTAAGTGTTTTATCCTGGACGGACGTTTACATGTTTATGGAGTTTATTATAAATAATAATAAACTTAACTTGGTGACGCACTGAATTTGAATATTTGTAGCTACTATTAAACAAACGAATGTTAACCACATTAGTTCTATCTTCTAAACTACTGTAGTATGCAATCGGTTAAACGAGCAATGCTTTATCTGATGGAACTAGGAACCACGCGCGGCGTTGCCGCGCAGCTGCCTCTGTGTTGGGCCAGTCCGTGATGCATGTGCTAGTGTGGAGGACCATCAGTGTGGGAGCAGCTTGTGCTCCTTTACTGCTTGGATGATAAGAATAACCATCAATTAATATTATTGATTTTTGAATGAGTAAAATACAATGATGCAAATTGATAATAATTGAAAATAGCAAATAATTACCTATGACATTACGATGATAAGAATATTTGTCTAGATCCATAGAAAAATGAACAAAATATATGTTGGTGAAACTGTGAAAGGACTTTTGCTATACTTACTGCGGGGAATGTTTTTTTGTTTCTCATGCCAGTGTATATCATTGGAAAAACAACATGGCCACTGAAGCAGAACGCATATAGGCTCATAGCAGTTGGCACACCAGATCAGTCCACAGGGACATCTCGAGTATGTAAATAAATAAACGATCCAAAGGAAGCGTAGACAAAACATCAAAGAACATATGGAATGTTCTGTATAATCGGAGTTGAGAGCCAGGTTTTCCACTTTTCCTTGTTGTCTTGGATGAGGTGCTGGAAGCCTCCATCAGTCTGTGGATGCCAAGAGATACAGATCTAGTCTCTTTGCTGTAGGCAGTCATGTGTCACGCAGGTAGAGTTCTTGAATGGTATCGGATTAGAACATAATGTCTTTATATGTTTATATGTAGCTTGTGATCTTTTGTGAATGCCTAAAAATTATTTGAATGTGATAGTTTAGCCAGTAGAAGTCACGTTGAGAACTGCAGCAATAGTTAAGGCATTGCAATCAGTACACTTTGTTGTAAGTACAATGCTGCACCACTTCATAACTGCATATGAGTTTCAGAGTTTGGCTTTCAAATATTTAGTTTGTGCTGCATCATTGGCTTGCCCCCTTTGCTAACTCCAACGTTGCCCTGGAGCCGGGGCATGAAGCACAAATTGATCATCACCGGTTGCGTGCTAGGAGCAAATAGGCTATTAAATAGTAGTAGTAGTATCCAAAGTCTAAATTAGGATATGGGGGATGCAATCCATGTGGTAAAAACTAAGGTAGAATCAACCAACTGGACTCCACAGAACATCTGAATCTCCAATGCATTTTCGTGATGCCCTGTTCCTGCTACCTTGCGTAAGTAACCACAAAGGTATAAAAGGAAGATCCAAGTAAGGAAGCATCAGGGGGGAAGAAAAAATATTTTTTCAATTACAATTCAGGATTGCATGCAATCGGAGGCGATATTGGTCTGTGGGGGCAGATGGCAGACACTACTCTCTGTAAACGCCTAGGTCTCCCGTGCGACTCTTGTCAGTGGAGCACGCCACTGAGGTGCTTGAGCGACTCCGCCTTCCTGTCATCCCACTCCGGGGACGAGTTCGGCGTGGCCTCGCCGTCCCGTGCTTTGGCCCCTTCCCTCATTTATTACGCCAAGGAGAGGGAGAGGATTGCGGCGCTTCAGATGTGGCTCGACGAGCTTTCCACGGACACCGCCGTGCTCGAGTCCTTGGAGCAAAGGGGTGCTGCTCTCGGCCCTGCTCCAGGCCGTTGAAGAGGAGTGCGCGGCGAACGGGGATCGCGCGTGCTGCTCGTGGCCCTGAGTCCTGCTCCAGGCTGTGGTGGATTCGCTAGCGCTCTGGTCTCGAGCTTAACGGGCGACGGACCCCGACGGCCCGAGTCGCTGCCGCGCACGAGCGCGCCCCGCCTGAGCCGCCGCCACCTCCGCACACGCCCGCGCCCTCGCGTGAGCCGCCGTCGCTAGCATGCACGTCCGCGCCCAGCAGGAGCCGGTGGGCCGTGCCCGCGCCCGCGCCCGAGCCGGTGGCCCTTGGCAATGGCAGTTGCCCGCACTGCCACCCTGCTCGTCGACGCCGAGCGGGCGGACGGGCCGACGCGCCGAGAAGATTCGCGAGGTTCCCGCGGGGAACGAGATCACCTAACTTCGGTGAAAACGACTGCACCTGCAGTCAGGCACATCTGTGCCATTCGTTGCTGATCCGACGACACACCCACCAAAGTGACATGGGCCCATCACAGCCTACACAGACCTGCTGTTGCTGAGAGCTCCCGTGAATAAAGAAAAATCGACGCCGCCGTCTTCGTAGTTCTAGTCGAGCTGCGCCGCCGTCGCCGTCTGGCCGCCGACGTGCCATCCCGTTTTGGCCTCCTACGAGCGGCGGAGATGTCGACGCCAGCTGATCAACGACCTCGCGCCGGTGCCGGGCGGCGGATCATCGCCCAACTCCTTATCTACCCGCTCCACACTCGCATGCGTGGCTGGCGGCGCTTGATTACTGAAATTTTGAGGTTTTTGTTGGCGTGAGGTGAAGCCAGCTGCGGTAGCGAGATGGGCGCGACCCCTCAAGCTGGCGTTCAAGGGCGGCGCCGCCGCCGCCAGATTGTACCTGGTCCGCATCCTTCCTCTTTCCCTTCCTTGTCTGAATTTTTGAGTGATTTTGCCTGATCCTTGCCGGTGATTTAGTCTGAATTTTTGTGTTACTGTCGGTGTCTACTACTACTTCTACCAAGTATTCGGAACAGGCAGAGACAAAGGCCCTTAGGCGATCCAGAGAGGGCTGGGCGATGGGTATCGGGATGCTCCAGTCTCTCACTGTCCAGGAGATTTTGCCTGATCACTTTTGAGTGATTTTGCTTGATCACTTTTGGAATGTAGCTAAGCACCTTGTGTTGACTACTATGTAACTTGTGATTGTATCGAAAGTACAAAAAATCATGCAAATTGTATAGATTGCCATTGTGTTGTAAATTGTCACGGAATTCAAGAAAAGTAACTGATTGTTGCAAGTTCAGTGATGCACAAAATGGTGCATTCGTTCGAGGAGATGCAAGCTCAGAATGTTCAGAGATGCGAAGTGTTTCAGGAGGCTATTCCAAAAGCTATTCTCCTAAACAATCTATGTTTCAAGAGACTATTTTCCAAAAGCTATTCTCCTAAACTACTAGAAGTCAGCAATAACATCATCTGTGATTGCCCCCTGCAAAATAAAAGATTTAAAAAAACAAATGAGGAATGTATTGATGGCCATGTATGGTTTAGAAAAATGGTGTATTAGATTGAAATATCACCTTCAATATCTGAGAGAAGGTATTGATGGTCATGTATGGTTCAGGCATTTCATTCATGGGCAAAGAAGTACTAGGATAAATATTTTGTACTGCTGCAGTGTCTTGTATTGATGTTGTTTCTTGTACTGCATCTTCTTTTTTCTTTTTTTTACCTCCCTTCTTTGCAGTTTCTTGTTCCTTCGAATAAAAGAAATAAAACTAAACATGTGCCCATTAAACACATAGGAAATCTGATATATTTTGTGTTACCACATACCTTTGGACAATTTTTCTTTTTCTTTGCAACTCTGTGCATCTTTTCAAACCAAGCTTTTTTGCGCTTTGAGGTTTTAGTTTCCACGTGCTTTTTCTTTAGGCTTGCTGTACTCAACAAATCAATCGGGGAGAATCATTTGTGGGAACATTGGTTGGATTCACTGCACTAGGAAGACTCATGATTTCTTCTTCGACTTGCTTGCTAACCATGTAAGTGCCTCGTTGACTAATAGGACGCACCGTGGATGACTTGCAGCTTGGTGTGCCAAATTGAGGAATTTGCGAGTCATATTTTTGTAGCAAAGCATAGCATCTAATTTTGGATCCTCTATTATGTTTCGGCCTTGGTTGTCTTGTACAGCCCCACTGCGTGCTTCTCGAGTCCAACGCTTCAGTATATATTGTTCTAGGATTAACTTGATGTTCATTAAATCAAGAACTTTTAAAGCATGAGCATACAATATTCCGATTCTATTGAACTGCCCACAGTTGCATGTGCTTGTTTGGTCTACAGGATCACCAGTAACTTTGTACTCCTTCTCAAGGATACAATTTTCATCAAGACTCCCAACTGCTACAACATATTCATTATTGCCTTCCAATGACGTGGTGCATGCTGCCATGGACCTCTCATATTCAGATTGGAAAGCTTCAAAAACAATTGATGTGTACAGCTTGCTAGCTTGGAGTAACATAGGTGTCCTCATTTTGAGTCTTGGTAATTTCTTTCTTGATTCAAATTCAGCATGCCATTCATTATTTCTTTTAAATTCCACAACCCTTTCAAAATGCTTAAGGAATCGAATGATATCAAAATCTGATTTGAAATATCTCTTCAAGTCACTGTTTAGACTCTCACTCAATTGTGTACTCCTCATTCCTAATGTGTACACATTAGTCATATAACATGCAATCCACTTTTCTCTTACCTTATATATACTATCCAACTAAGTTTGCTTGCTGGCCTTTGTCCTCATAGTGTTAAATGCTTCTTGAAATGTTTCTTCATCTTCATACTCATACATACATGCACTAAAATCTGCGAGAATACTTGGTTCTTCCTTATTGTCTTCATTCTTTCTTTTTGGAGGAGTATCTGATTCTTCATCGTCACGTTCAGCAAGATGCTTGACAGCGTTCTGCATAATGTGAAAAGTGCATAGACCATGCCAAGATTCCAAAAAGACCTCCTTAACAGCCTTTTCCATTGCTGCATCTTGATCGGTATAGCTTATTTTTGGTTGCTTGCCATTATGTGCTTTTAGAAAGGTCTCAAATAGCCATTTGAAGGACTCAAATGTCTTATCGTACATGAGAACAACACGAAAAATCACAGTTTCTCTAAAATAATTGAACCCAACAAATATTCCAAAAGGCCTACTCTCCCTGTTTGTTCCAAAAGTAGTATCAAAACTAACAACATCACCAAAATATGCATAGTCAGTGAGCATTTTAGCATCAACCTAGAAAATGTTAGCTATTTGTTCTTCCCGGTCCATTTGCAATGCACATTGGAATGACGGGTTCTCGGCAATTTTTTCTTGAAAATACATAAGCATGCTTCCAGCTTGACCATATGCCATCTCACGTTGGCGCTTTCGCCCTTAAATAGTTCTTGTGGTCTCGAAGAGTGTGGCGAGATGAATTTGAGCCACCAACTTGGATAGAAGCCAACTCATGTGCGACTTTGGGTCAAATTCCTGCATCGTCAGCCGTCTCAATTTCAAAACCTTGTAGCTCTGAAATTTTCCTTTGAGACACCAACAAATGTGAGGTTTGTGGCAACTGAAGGGTGTGATTGTGTTCCAAAATCACCTCAGTGACTTTATAATTTCTTTTCTCCCGGTCTAGTCTGAGACCCATGCACGAACTTCACAATCAGTTCTAGTTTCAGCTCTCGGAGACTTTATTAAATGATCTCTTTTATCTTTCAATCTGTGACCCTCATTCGCACAAACAAATCTGCACGACCTAATCTTTCCATCTGATTTTCTTTTGTTTGAGTATCTTTTTCTAACCTCAAAACCTTTTTTGACCACCATAGTTGACCCAAAACAACCAAGCCTCATGTGTACTGTTGAATTCCATGCCAACTTGAGGTGCGAAATTTGAAGAAAACTCATCCCTATAGCACACGAAATATTCAATAAGCAACTGAAATGTGTCTGAACGCATGGGGAGAAAGAAACAGGCATGGGTCACACACCTCTTTTCTTCCATCTCATATATTCTGAAAGCAAGTTGACATTTCTTCTTTAATCAATTCCAACAGAAGCTGAGGTAGTAGAGGATAGCAAATAAATTAGAAGAAAACTGATGCAATCAAACACACGTGGAGAGGAGAGAAGCGGTGCAAACCTGCAAACATATTTCTGGCGCACAACACAGGCAACAGCCGATCGCCGACGCCTGACGCCCGTGCTTGCAAGAAAGCCGACGCCCGACGCCGACGCTTCACCTTCGCTAGCGGGAAAGCAAGCAGTATTCGCGCCAAAAAGGAAAAGACGCCGCCAAATACGGGAGTGGCGGTGTTATTCTTGGGCCAAGGCCCATGTAGCAGAGGAGCACGGCAGCCAGAGTGCTTAGCCTATACGTGGAGACGTTGGATCAGCCGCGGACGGTGCTGATTATGCTCGTATGCTGTGAAGTTAGGCGATCTCATTCCCCGGCGGGACCGCGATGAAACAGGCGTGGCGGAACGGACTTCTGTACAAGCCACGTTGAAACGCTCGATGATCGTTCGTTGAGATCTGACGGTTGAGGGAGAAGCAGGCGACGTGGCCCAATGGAATGCCCTGGTCTGGTGCACGAATCGTTTTTAGAGATTCGATGAGCTAGTTGCTGCCTCTTCACGCCAAGAGAGCGACTGACAAGAGAGCTCTCCACGCCATCCCGGCTGCCCTGCGCACATCTGGCTCTGAGGTGGCGGGTAGGCGCCAGCAGGTTGGCAGATTGGAGTTCTGCTGGTGTCGTCCAATCTTTCGGTGGGGTTAAAAAGCCTTTTCTCTTCACAGGATAAGAGATTTGAAAACAGGCGATACAACTACACATGCAGCTATATAAACAAACCCAAGAGGAAAACAACGATCCGGGCCTTCGCTTCATCCTGGTGCCATCCTCAATTCGGAGTAGTCTGGACGTCTGGTTACCTGTCCTTGCATTGGGCAGATCAGCAGTGCCGCCACCGTCTTTAACAGACGTTAATCAGCT